GGTCTTTTTAAAACTGTACGTCACAAACAAAGGGTCCCGTGTCCGTCCTAAATCATGCGCTGCTTTATCGTATGTTTTCATCTGAATGGAGCCATAATTCATTAAATTAACATCATTCTTTATCAACAGAGACGTGAAACTAGTGACTGAGACCATAAACTCATTAGGAAACAGTTTACTGAGGCAACAAATAAAACAAGAAGGAGGCTCACTTTCTGATCAGACTTCTTTTTGCAACCGGATTTGCCCCCTGCTGGCTGCTAGAGGGAATGCAGGTTTAAAACTTCCTATTTCCGACCAGCAGTGTTTCATCGTGTGTTTTGCTGCACACCAGACTCCAAAAGTCCTCAAGTATTGTTTCGTAGCTCATCAAGTCAGTTGCATTTATTGCTAATGAAATGCAGTAAAAGCCACGAGGATGCAGATCTTTTCGTGCCCTTAGGTTGTTTTTGTTTTTTTTACTGAAGTCTTGCAGATAATATTCACCCACAGCTCATAGGACAGCCGCTCCACCACCTGCTCCTGGTGCTCGCTTGCAAAATCAATAAATCACAGTAATCAACTTAAGTGCAGCTCCCACAGCCTCATTATTGGGAAATGTTTCTGCCTCCACTGCTGCAAAGACACAGAGAGACGAACATGGCTAATTTTAGCATAACTAAACCACATACTCTGTGTAAAACATGCACATGGAGCCTTTCTAAGAGGACTCCGGTGTCACATATCAACATACGTGTGCACAGAAACATGTGACCTCTGAATCATACATTCACTCCGGTTGTCGAAGCTTTCCGATCCTCTTATGGTAAATGCCAAAGCTCACGTTAACCGTGTGTTCACGTTCGCAGCTCTTCAGTCGGTTTACGCTGTGAAGCCAACAGCTGGTTTTAACTCCGTCTTTGTCGCAGCAACGTTTTTCAAAACATGCAAAAGAGACGAAACGTGCAGGACGGGAGGAGAGATGCTGAAGGTTTATAAAACTCTCCTAAAACATGTTAACTGTCAGAAAACATTCCTGAATATGAAACGTTGTTTTACACCGGTCTGATTTTATCTCCACAAATCGTCTGTAAAGTTTTTATACTTACATTTTTGTACAGATTTTACCCCGGGGCTTTAAAGGGTTTATTATCTCTAAAAAAAAATCACCAAAATGACTCTATTCATCAGCCAGAAACCGAAAAAACACACAGAATCTACATCTGATGGTGGAACATCTTTCTACGGCTGATGAGCAGTGTGTATTTGTACCAAATGTTTTCAGTTCGGGACTCTCGGATTGGCTCAAATGTTTACTGAACAAATTTTAAGATTTAAAACTCCAACTTAGATAAATTACAGCTTGAACATCCTCCATTATTATTAAAGTCTGTTGGTTAGGAACACTACAATGACGATGGACAAAGATGGTGGATAGAACAACAGGTCTGTGGCTGGTTTCACGTCAAACTTACTCACTTCAATGAAACGGCATCAAAATATGAACAAAAGTGGTTCAACAACAAATCAGACCAGGCCAAAGCACTAACAACCATGTTTGATGGTTTTATGGCTGCAGATGTGCAAAAGTTTTCTGTTGCTGCAGCTTCAAACTCACGCTGAAAACAATGGAGCCCAAATTCCTTCTCTTCTGCACTTCAGCCAACAAATACAACTCATCTAACGTCTGCTTTCCAACAGAACCAGTCCAGTTTAAGCTCAGATCATTGTCTAGATGCTGCATCTTAATGGATATTTATAAAGAGAATATTTTTATTTCATAAAAGTGTTGTATTTCTTCTTTATTAGTAGTTTGCAGCCAGTTGCAGCAGCGTTGACAAACTTTATCTAAAAAACAAGCAGCTGTAGTTTGTTCAGTCAACCAACGTTTACTTAAAAAGGAAGCAGTTTAATGTTTTGGGTTTGGTTTTTTTGGGTCTTTTTGCACTGAAATCATAAGTAACTGTCATTTCTGTGCAGTGACGAAGACATTTAAACATCTTTATACTGTTTTTTTTTTTTTTTTACATTTGTGCTGTTTCCATAGAGGTGACTTGTGAAAAATGAGCTCACAGTGAAGAAAAAACACCAGAAACGGTCGGATTCCACAACAAAGAACATGTTTGTTAGTAAAGTGATGCTATGAAGCAGATTTGGGGGGAAAAAAACTGTGTTTGCTTCCAGGGTTTTGTTGTATTTGAGCAAAACCCTGGAAGTTTGATTCCAGCGTTTTGTAGCAAACAGGTGGTTTGTGGCTGTGTGTTGCCGACTCGGCCTTAAAGCCGGCGTGCCGGGTTTCATTCAGCGACTCTGATCTCCGGCTCTCGTCTGAACTCCACGACATGCTTTTTTTTTTTTTTTTTAAATGTTATTTTGGCTGCAGGTCGAACAGAGCCGAGTCGTTGTTTTCAGTCTCGGGCCAATTAGAGGCGAACGGCGGCGGCTGCGCGCTCGCACACGCATTGTGTGTTCGTCTCGGCTGGCGTCGTCATGGCAACTGGCCGCGGCTATTCAATGAAATGTCAAGGCACTGTGCAAACACACACACACACGAGGTTGGATGGATGGATGGATGGATGATGGATGGATGATGGATGGATGACGCCTTAAAGCAACCGTGACACAGTCCAGTGGCCACATCTGGTCCTGACCCCGTTTCTCTGACATTTATCGAAGGAACGTTGCAGCAAAATAGACGGCGAGGAAACCGATTTAGGGATTGGAGGAGGACAGACGAGTCTCTGGAGGATAACGCGGTTAACGGATGAGAGCCGAGGGGCGGAGAGGACGCCCCAGAGGTTATCAGGCGATGGACTGAAGTCCCACTGGTCGCCATGGAAACGTCCATCATTCCTTCACATCTGACTCAGTGGATTCACTCGTGGGTTCAATTTGGGCCATTTTAACAAATTTTTCCCGCTCTGTGTTGTTATCATTTGTTCTGCTGCTCCCGCTGCTGTTGGATTAATTGATCTAATTAGCAACTGGCGGCCCTCATGTGCTTTTGTGTCGCAGCAGCGGAGACAAAACTAATCAGGTTCATTAAAAAGCTCGTTTAAAACGGCGTGAAGCAAAGTGTCGCGCAATTTAACAAAAGAAAAAAACAGCAACACATAAATGCGACAACTGAAAGACATCTGAAAACATCCTTTTAAAAAAACAACAACAAAAAAGCATTTTGTCGTCTGACGCTTCGATAACATCTGGCGGAAATAAAAAAGAATGTTTTTTTGTTTTGTTTTTTAAATGTTCTGAGAAAATTCTGCAAAGTTCTACTGATGTTTTCAGCAGCAAAGCGACTTTAGTTCCCAGAATGTTCTTCTTAAATGTAGGATAACTAAAGACGTTCTAAAAATGTTTGGGTGATAACATTGTCAAACCGTCATGTTCTAACGTTCTCCAAACTGAAAGTTGCACTGAGAACGTTCTTCCTTTGTTATCATGTATCACTGTGGAACGTTGTGGGAACGTTTTATAGATTCCGTAATATGTTTGCTCAACAACCTCCTCAGAACGTCCTAAGAACATTACAGCCACGATGTTCTCCCTTTGTTAATATGTTGCAGTTCAGGAACGTTTTCCAAAGAACATTTTGTCATGTGAAGCCTTAACATCTTGAAAACATTTTTGTAATGTTGTGTTGACGACATTTTTCATTTGTCATCAGTCCCTAAACAAAAAAGCAAAACGTTCCACATTTAAGACGTCACTTTACAGGAACGTTATAAAACATCTGCTATCTGAGGCCTCCATAACATCTGGACATTTCATTTGATGCTGGTCTCGGAAAGTTTCAAAGTTATTTCTATTTCAAAAACGTTCCCAGAATGTTCTGGTATTACTAAAAACGTTCTAAAAATGTTTGACAATACTGTTGGACGTTCTCGAGACTGTGTGTGGCACTGAGAACGTTCTTCCTTTTTATAGAACAATGTTCAGTGATGTGTTCTCTCAACAACATCCTCAGAACGTTGCCGGCAAAATGTTCCGCCTTTTGATATGTCAGGTTACAGGAACGTTTCATTTTTAAAAAATCATCCGTGCTGCTCTGAGGATCCTCTGAGACGTCCTCCATCCAGCATCCGGCTTTATTTAGAGCGGTAAAAATCCATAAGACGTTCTTTCTTAAAACATTACTAGAACTCGTAGATAACAACACCCAACGTTGTGGGAACGTTACTGAAAAGGTTTGAACCCATTGCAGTGATGAAAAGGACAAAACAATTGGAGGCTTCCTGCAATCAAACAAACGAGATCGATTGCGATGTTGAGGTTTATGCAGTAAAAACATATTTCATCCATAAAATCAGTCATTAATCATAAATAACTGCAGTTTCAGTATTCACAAACAAACTGTGCTGCCCTATAAGCTCTGTTTTTTCCTAGTTTATGGCATTTTTAAAATGTATTTTAGATTTTCAGCTCCACTTTTTCATCTTTCTGTGTTATTTCAATGCAGATCTGTACGTTAGCTGTAAAGTAGCACAACATGGAAGTAAAAGCAGCGCTCTGTTTATCCAAATACCAAAGTGCAATAGAAATATTTAGTGTAATAATCTCTAAATAATCATCTGGCCTCAGCCGTGCAGCCCACGGTCTTGTTTCCCGTAACGATGGTGACATTTGTACCTGCAGCTCCTGCCGTTAGCGCCAACACCCGGCAGCCTGGGAGCGTTTTACACCCCGATGCTCTGCTTCTAACTGGAGGTGCGAATGGGTTCTGACAACATACGACGTACAAACACAGTCTGCACAGCAAAAATAGCTCCTAGAAACACACTCAGGAAGGTTTTTTTCCAACCTTATCAGCTCCTGCAAACTTTTCTCACAGCTGCTGTGTTGTTCATTTGATTTGTTTGGCTTCGTGTCGCCCCACCGCCCGGCTTTACGACCCCCCAGTGTCTCGTTTCGCTATTTTCAACCTCACTTCTCCCCTCGCCGCTCGCAAACGCAGAAAGCAATCACAGAACAGCCAAGAAATCAGATGCAAACAAGAGGAGAACGTGTGGTTTCCTGCTCACCTAGTCCAGGTATGAAGGTGTTCAGAAAGAGACAGATGACCGCCAGAGGGAAAGGCATTGTGGGTATCGCAGCCCTCAGGGGTCCCTTCTTCTCCCGGACCTCCACCACCACTCCTCCGCCCGCCGCCGGGCCCCCGGCCACGACTTTGGCCCCTACATTGTCCTCAGTTTTAACTCTCCCCTGCTGCGTTCCTGCCTCCTTCTGAGCCATCTTCAGATCTCACCTTCAGGCTGTGAGCAAGCAGCTGATTTTTCCTGTCAGCTCCTTGTGGATCAATAATCAATAGCGATTGATTGATCGTGTCCTCGGGGTATTAGCTGAACACCCAGCAGGTCACAGGTCATGGAAATACATGGAAGTGGTGCAAATATTTATTTATATCTTGAAGGAAAACAAAGAACTCTTCAGTGTTTAGAGTCAACTTGACTTATTTCAGGAACAATCTGTTGCTTTAAAGTGAGTTTCAGTTGCGAATGTTTCGAGAATTCCTCCGAGAAAGTCGCCTCACACCTGTTCACGCCTCACAGGCAGCAGGAGGACAAAGATATTCCAGTTTAGATCCTGTAAAAATAAGCTCCTAATTAGAGGTTTGTTCCCAACATGCTCTTAAGGACGCCCCAATCAGGGATAATTCCGCCTTAAAACTGTTCTGCTGTCAGGAAAAAATCCTTGAAGGATGAGCGGCTCTTTCCAGGAATTTCCTCTGAAGTTTTTTTTTTCTTCTTTCTTTGTCTCTTTGTTTGTTTTCCCTTCCTTCTCTTTCTTTCTTTCTTTCTTTCTTTCTTTCTTTCTTTCTTTCTTGTAGTAAAACCTCTCCCAGCCCGACACGCTCACCTCCGAGTCGGAGAAGAGAAAGTGGAAACAACAACCAACCCCCCTGTTTCTACTACGTCTCCTCAGCTTTCTCTCTCCCCTCCATTTAAAGGAACAGTGCACCAGTTCTCCTCTCAATGAAGTCAGTCAATGAAGTCGATGCACTCAAACA